GGAAAGCTGTTGCAGGTGACTGGGTACTAGGATGCTGTATGCTGAGGGAGTTCAAGAAGTCTATGTGTGTGGCGCATGTAACCGACGGTAGAGAGCCCTGATCCCATCAAGAAGTCCAAGACTTTCTGCACACAGAACTGTCCTCTTCTCCCATTGCCAAGGAATTCTCGATGTATTCTGATATGCAATCGCAGGAAGAGAGTTCAGATATCATAGCCCGTTATTATCTCGAAGATGCTCATATAAATGCATGGCACCCGTAGCTAGGTAGTTTACCTTATATGCTTCATATTTCGTCAACGTTCAGATGGGAAACGAAGTGGATCATTCGACATGATCAAGCTATGATCAAGCTTCAGGATGCTGTATACCTCGGCAAAGGTCAGTTGAGACTCGAGACGGACTAGTCCGGTAAACGCCGAAGAACTGTACATGACCGCAGGTGCCGAGATTCGGCACGAAACTTTGTGTGTGTTATCGTCCCCGATACCGCAAAGTCGCCTCCAACCCCCTCAAGACATCAAAAATGGCAGCACGCGGTACGCCCCTCGTCCCCCTCGTCCCAGAACCCCAACTAACCCAACCCTTCTCCCCCTTCCCATTTCCCCTGAAATCCCCCGTTGCCTCAATCCCGCTATCTCGAAACGACTTGATGATACGACGACGACACAGGCGGAGGAGCCTCCGGAACTAAATTTCGTCTAACACTCGGTCTGCCCGTCGGCGCCGTGCTGAATTGCGCGGACAACAGCGGCGCAAAGAGCCTGTACATCATTGAGCCCTTCGGGTTCGGTGCCCGCCTTAACAGGCTGCCCGATGCTGGTGTTGGCGACATGGTCGTCGCATCCGTGAAGAAGGGAAAGCCCGAGCTGAGGAAAAAGAGTACGTTCGATACCTTTGATTTCTGAGATTCTGGTGTGTTGCGCGGATTGGGGTCAGCGCTTTTGAGATGGCGTTTGGAAAATGGACGATCGGTTCATTGGGCTGGCGCGGGTTTTGAGGCTTCCGGTGTAAAGATTCCTGGGATCGGTGCTGATTATGTATATTTTTCTGTAGCCATGCCTGCTGTCGTTGTCCGTCAACGCAAAGCATGGCGCCGGAGAGATGGTGTCTTCCTCTACTTCGAGGTCTGTTTCTGCCTCCTTCCCCACCTTCCCCTCATTAACCACGCTTCCGTAGGACAACGCTGGCGTTATCGTCAACCCCAAGGGAGAGATGAAGGGCTCGGCCATCACTGGCCCTGTAGCAAAAGAATGCGTACGTCCAATTTCCACGAGATCCTCCTCTCGTTGTAGCTAATTTTTGGTCTTGTATAGGCGGATCTGTGGCCGCGTATCGCCTCAAACGCTGGCACAGTGGTTTGAGCGGGTCGACGACTTCCATCTTTCTTTTCGCACATGTTCTACACCACTGTTATGAATATAACACGATTCAACGCGCATGATCAGGAGTCAATTCAGAGTGTCTGATCTGACAAGCGTATAGTTTAAATCCCTCAAGTGCAAGTGCTGGTAAGTCGTAAGAAGCCATTATTCACAACATCCCTGTACACACTGCATGAGACAACCTAAGTTAAGAAATTGAAGAACCCGCATCGTAGCCCTCGTCCTCAACCCATGTCAGACGGTGCTACCTTCTCCTTCGGTTTTCCAATCTTGATCCCTGACATCTTCGTTGTCTTCGTCGGCCGCTGAGGCCCTGATGTCTTAGGGGAGTCTGTTCTCGGAGAGGGCGTTTGTGTATGCAACTGCGATGAAGGGAGGATCGGCAGTGAAGGGAGGGGTGTCCTGGGCTTCGTTGTCCGCGGCTTGGCCTGGCCAAATGTCCCTGGCATTGTTGGGGGTGGTTTAAGAGGGAGAGAGGCGTGATAGGGTGGTGCTCCAGTCGTAAATGTTGATGTAGATGTCGATGCAGCAGCTGGTCGACTCGATGTAGAGGAACCAGGTATAGGTGCAGGCTTCGGATTCGTGCTCTCCATCTGTCTTAGCTTCGCCTCCATCATTGCAATCTTATCCCTCGTCCTGCACGACAAATGAGCATCTATCGATAACCCATAAAAGAAGTGGGCACTGACCCGTCATTACGTGTCCCCGAACCTGTCTTGAGCAAACTGAGCGTTGTCGGCCTCCCCGTCTCCATCATGCTCTTCCGCTTCGGTCCATACACGCCCCCACCGCCCATCTGCTCAACCGGCGCCTGATGTGCAAACGTCACCACCAGCTTCCGCCCTCGCAGGAGCTTTTCGTGCGCCATGCTTAGTGCCTTCACGGCCTCCTGAACAAAAGGTAGACAGGGCATGTCAGCAAATCAAGATCCGTCTTCAGGCATAGCAGGGTACGACGCCCGCCCCGGGTGACACTGATCCATCATCCATCTGCGCACGGATAGGTGGGATGACAAGAGATGTGCCGTGGTATGAAAGCGAGGGGGGAGAGATAAACCCGGGGTGAGCGTGTATCCTATGGAAGGGCTAGATGAGAAGACGTACGTCGTTCGTGCCATATTCTACGAATGCATAGCCGCGCGGCTTTCCCTTGAGTGCGCCGGCCTTGTGGAAGAGGAAGTCGAGCTTTGTGACCTTTCCGAATTTCGAGAAGATCTGAAGGAGCGAATATCTGCTCATTGTCAGGCCATTATTCAATCTAGTCCAAGTATGGCCCCCAAAATCAGAGGAGAAAAGACGTACTCGTCCACGGTTGGATGCAGGTTCCCGACGTACAGCCTATCCTTGAGGAGCTGGCGCGGTGGTACTGGTGGAGCTGTGGAAGACTCTGCGACGGGCTCCGCAAATGTGGAGGGAAAGGAGAGGTGCTCGTTGGTGTGAGGACTCAGCGGACTCGAAGGGTGTTGGAGACGAGTAGGGCTGGGGAGGTCCATTGCAATGGGAGTGTTAAGCTTGAAGCGAGCTTGAAGAGAGGGTCTGGACTTGCGGAGGTTGAGAATGTGGGAGTATGAATGAACTGGTGGGCCCGCTTATTCCTTCACAAGCATTAATGGGGTAGTGGTAACCTGGGTCGTTGCCATTCGAGAAGTGATCTCGACCCGCCGGGGGTTCGATTCCCTCTTAATGCACTCCTTTATGCATCTTGGGATGCAATTTTTGCACATCTTATGGATTTCCCTATGTAATATCTATGCATTCAACGTTGATTCGGAATCTGGACTCTGCAGTCTGAAGTTCTCTGAACCTCCTAGACATACTAATAACTCAACTGAGCCTTTCAAGTATATACAGACCCACGGATATCCGAAGCCTGTGTACGTTGAACCGTAGGTCAACGTCTGCCTTTGACAGACACCCTGAAGGCATATAACTAGAAATCATTATAGCATTGGCAAACAGTATCTAATCCTATGTGAAAAACTTCCGATTCTCGTTCGCGCCGAAGAGATCTTTCCTTATTTCAGGGAGCATCTGTAACGGCCATATATAATCTGTCGAAGACTGTAGACAGGAGAATGAAAGCTTACCCTGTCTTCTAGCAACCGGAGACGCTCATCTAGCGTATTATCAAGCGTAATACGACGCGTACCACTGACAAGCTTCACACCACCAGCACTGCAGGCAAGCTTTTCTCAGCATCCCATTTCATACTTGGACACATAACATTCACTCACCTGTCATCACTCAGCGTCCCTTCCACCTCGTACTCGATATCCCGTCCACTAATTTCCTTGTACGACTTCTCCGCGCTTGCAGCCGCCTGCTTTCCAACATCTACATCACGCCCCCGCACATGTATCGTGACGCCCGGCTCCAGTACCTGGAGGAAGCCCTGCACGATGACGCCCTCGAGGAACTGCACATACTGGCCCTCATTCTTCGCGAGCTCGACGACAGAGGCGCGCGACTCCGAGAAGAGCTCTTGCAGATGCTCCTCACGGCGTTGAAGCAGCTTCAGGCGGGATTTGTTGGTGAGGGTGGATTCGGCGCTGCGGACAGATAGGGTCAGCAGACGCGCTGGTCGGGGAGTATGAACCGAAGTCGGCTGAATGGAACAGCATACATCTTCTGTGCGATCTCGGCGCCTTTGCGCTTCTTCTCAAATTGCGCGTCGATGGCCTGCTGCTCCTGCTTCACTATCTTGGCCTATAAAGGATGCCATATAAAACGGTTAGCGCAGAAGTAGCTGACCCGGAGGTGAACAACACCGCACTTTCTCAATCGCAAACTCTTCATCTGCCTTCACTTTAATCTCGCGAGCCTTCTCAAGCGCCTCCTGTTTGATGAACGCAACCTATAGAAGCCAATGCCCCAAGGTATAAGCACGAGTTACAGATCATAAGGGACAATTCCAATTGGGTCGGCAGGACGGAGTTGTGATCAGAGAGGGCATCGACAATCGCAGAATCCGTGCGCACCATCTTGTTCATCTGGTTGAGGACCTCATCATCATTCAGTGGGCGGGACGACATTGCGATAGAGAGACGTTGGAGGGGGGAATGGGGTGGAGGAGGCAAGCGATCCAAGGATGGACGTGACTGTTATGATGGTTTGTGACATACTGTCGTCACCGCTCTTACACTGACCACCACCATATCTATTATGTAGGATAACGCGGCAGGGCTATTGCGATACTTTAGTCGACACCCCGCTTAGCTGGAACCCACATACAAGTCCTCTTCTCCTGGATGCCCTGGTACTTCCTGATTCCAGGCGACTCAAAATGCCACTTCGTGTCTTTCTTTCGAATATATGCACGTAGGAATCGCACTATCTGATGTCAATCATCTTAACACGTCGCACTTGTCATGTTCATTACAAGAGAATTGGGCAGTCCTATGCGCCACCCGTGTCGCGAAGGCAGACTCGCTCTGGAGTCTGGACTAGCCTGGACCTCCACCTTACGCCACCTCCTCCAACCAGCGACCGACCTCCTATGACTTCCACATCCCAGCCCCGGCGTGCGGCGTGCCGAACGGTCGAAACTTGAAAAATGAAGTTTCATGAACGCAGGCGGTCCAAGTTCACACCCTGTAGGCTGTGTATGCAAAAGCACTGGAGACTGTGAGGATTGAACTCACGACCTCACGCAGGCAGTTTCTCCTCGACGGAGATGCGAAGCGTGCGCGCTACCACTGTGCCAAGACCCCATGGTTTATCCTAGGGTTGTGGAAGTTCTGCCCTCCAGTCAGTTACGCCACCTCTGAAAATGGATCGCTTTTCTTACTACCGGGCCCAGTACAGACCTACATCTCCGCACTTCTTACCCCTACAGTGTAATCGCCGATGAAGAGAGTCGAGCCGTAAACAGGCGCTCCCTCACGGCTCGCGTTGATAAGCTGTTCAAGGTCGAGTCTTCCTGCCAAAAGACCCTCAACTCTTCAAAAGGACCAGCAAGACACATCGCGGTCCATCTTAGTATCACACCCATTCATGGTGTTCTTCTGCTGTTCTAGAGCGTGGCAATCCGGTCCATGACTTTCGCCATAGCTCTCCAAACAATGCCCGAAAGCAGCCCTGCGTTGTTCATCTCTTCCACTCCTCGTGCCTAATTACGGTACGCATTCCAGCAGATGTCGTTCAACCAACTTACCCTGGACCCAAACAGCCATCTGACCAAGAAACTTACTATGGCCTCCTGAGTTCCTCGATCGCCGCGGGAAATCGATACTACCCTAACCACTGCCGTCAGGTAGCTACCGTATCTGCATTCAGCCCTTCGCCCTTCCTCATTCATACCAAAGTTTACCCACCTCACCCGATCCTCGCTAATCATATTCAAGGTCAGCCCAAAAGCCTCGGCCCTCGTTGCTGTACCGCATAAGACATCGGCCGCCGAAGCGGATTTTTTCCAGCTCGGAACAAGCGGCGCCCATGCCTCGTGTCCGGACACCGACCACGGAGTACTTGCCTCTTTCTACGTGTCCGGATTAGTCGCACTGTCGCCGAGCGACGACGCCGACAATTGGCAGTCCGAATAGAACCGATCCCGAAGCCCAACGACACCCCTCGTGGCAGCCCTTGTCCCGTTCGGCGAGCGCAGATCACGACCCAAAGCAGTCGATGGACGCGAAATGGGTAAGCTCGTCCACTTGGCGCGCTCCTGCGCAACAGGCAATTGATGGTGAATTGCCGGGCATCCCAGGTCGCCATCGACAACCATTTGGTTACGGTTCATTAACATTACTGTATTCACAGCGGGACGTTGGTGGACCGAACGTGTTGATGTGGTACCATTTCGCCTCTCGTCTGAAGAACTTGGTGCAACACGTGCTTCAAGTCCATCTCCTCACGGGACAGCCTATGTTACCAACAAAGAGGCGTGTATCCAACGTCCAACAAAATCAGGCGGTGCGCGACTAGTGCCATAATGTTGTAGGCTCATGTCCTTGGTACCAGGGTATCTACTGGGTATATCATCGACCAATGCGCTACTGTAGTACATCAATACTAGCAGCGGACTAGTCAGCTGGGGTCTGGCGGCCATAAGTAAAGAGGTCCATGTCCGTCGCATGCGTGGTGTGTGTTGTACAGTGTAAAGGAAGTAAAGTAATTGTAAGTATAGACGTAAGTGCAGAGTCCAATATCCATCTTTATCTCGCAAGAGATGCACGTCCAAGAAATAGAGAGAGAGTCCTATCTCGCCTCTGTTCGTGTGATCTGAAGGCTGGAAGCTGAACGAACGTAAAGTCGAAGCCGGCCGACGAAATAACCAAAGTCCTCGTGTGCCCATCGTACACGTTCCGTCGATACGCACTCAAGCCATAGCATGAACCACGGATCAACACTCCTTGCTCCACATCTTGACCGAATCACTGCCCCCACCCAAACCCGAATCAGCCACCAAAAGCAAATCAGCCGATCCACAGGCCACTCACATCCTAAACGCCCGGTCATCAGCGTTCTCGGGCCACGTGTGGTACCAACTATCCAGCGCCCGGGTGAAATCGCGCATGGCAGCTGTACGTTCAAGAGTTCATTAGCATTCATATCACTTATCGGTTATCAGGGAAGAAAGGCAAAGGAAAAAGGGGAGGGCGAAGGACGTAAACCCGGAGCGGAAAAGAAAATTTAGGGATATGCTCAAGCTTCCGCGATAGGAGGCAGCGATAGCACAAGGATCCTTCAAACCCGCGCAGCGCAAATGAAAATGAAAAGGACCCGAGAGCCCGCAACACAAAAATCACCGGCAGAAGAAGAAGAACCGAAAAAAAACGTAATGCAGAAAACGCACTCAACGACCCATCATACCACGGCTTATCGCCCTTCTCATCCGGGAACCACCCCGACGTCCCGCCAACCGCCAGATCAATGATCAAGTAAAAGCCTACACACGCACGCCCATCAACATCCCTCCCAACGCGAAAAAAAGAAAAAAAGGTCGGGGGGACGTACGCTGATCAAACGGAGCAGCCGCGCTCCCCTCCTCCCACGGGTTATCCACCACCACCACCGACCCCGTACTCGAATTCTGCGCCGTCGGCGGGAATCTACCACAACCCCAGTCACATCAGCCACCAACCCCTCAAAGGACTCAAGAACCAAAGAGCCAAAGAAAAAAAAACACGCACTTCCCGCGATCCCAAAACGCACCCTCCGCGCCCTTCCCCCCCTTCTTCCCCACCCCCACCTCCAGGACGCTCTTCACCCGTGAGTCGACCCAGAACCGTACAAACTTCTCGTCCCACTCGACCGTGTACGTGTGGAAGCCTTTGTCGAAGGAGGTGCGTTTGAGGGAGTACCATCCGTATAGCTGTTTCGTCAGGGGCTCGGGCTGGGCTGAAATACGCGTGAGTTCGAAGTAGGAAGGGTGAGCGGGATAAGAAAGGGAGGGGAAGGAAGGGAACGTACCTCCGCCTTGCACGGAAATGGGCACCAGGTTCTTGTCCAGTCCAAAATTGAGCGATGAGCGGACGTAGTTGACGCCTTGCGCGGGGTACGATGGGGCGTTACCACGCGATTCGAGGATCTATGCGTAATAAGTACAGTTAGGCTACCTTGTATATAGTCGGTGTGTAGAAGAAGAGAGGCGAAACGCACGTCAATCTCGCCCGAAAGCGGCCACGCGCCGTAGGTGCTGTTCTCCGGGAGCATCCATACGGCAGGCCAGAGCCAGTCGCTATATCCCGAGGTCAGCTTCGGGTCTCATCCTCATCCACACAAAACAAAACGAGAAAGCTAAGCGACGCAGACTCCAAATGGGTGTGATCGTTATACGACACAGCCACCGATCATTATTTCTTCCCTGCACCACCCAACACAACACGAGATGAAGAACCGGACAAGGAAAGCATACGACTCACCCTCTTGAGACCTTTGCCACGATCTCAACTCGCCCATACTTGATCCCCACCTTCCCCTTCGTGCTGATCCGCCCGCTCATGACGGGGTTCACGACTGTCCCGCGGGAGTAGTCTGTCACTGCGCGACATGGGTTGGCTGATGCTGAGGTGTTGCTTGCGGGGGCTGGGGCGCGTTTGTTGTTCTGGTTCGCGTTTCCGGTTCCGTTTGGGTTGCCATTTCCGTTTGTCGTGGCAGTCGGTCTCGCGCTTCCGGTGCTGGACGCTGTCCCACCCCCGCCTCCATTGGTGGTAGTAGAATTCCCCCCACCCGTCGTTGAATTGCTCGACGTGTGCGGCGGCGGCGGTGCGGGCGCACTCGCCGTACACCCCTCCAGATTGTATGTCTTCCCATCTTGGTCATAGTCTGGCACCTCGTCGCGGGTGAGCGTGGGCATGATGTAGAGTTGTCCGTTCTGGATGTACACATTCCGGTCCGAAGTGGTGGTCATCTGGAACTCATGATTCCTACACACACAAATCAGCCCTTCCACACGAAAAAAAACAACCTGACAGACAGACTCACCCAAACCCACCAGCCTCGACCTCCCTCGCCCACCGACTATCATCCAGCGTTCCTCCCGAAAAGTCCTCGTCCATCACGAGGCACAGCCCGCCCTCATCGAGCATGCGAGTCTTGATGTCTCGTATGCCCGTCCAGCACAGCAGCGCGCTGGCCGCAGCGCCGAGCAGGAGACACGCGAGGGTAAGCCACCACGCCCCCCGCGCCCTCGGGTCCCTCTTTTGCTCTTGGACCTGTCCTGCGCCTTTCGCATCAGGCATATGCACGGACGTCGTCGAACCATGCGCAGCTGCTGCCTTTTCCTCGTTCAGATTCGGCCCAGGCGAGGCTCCACGCACGAGGAGCGTGGAAGGCAGCGGGGGGCGGTGGAGGTTGGATCTGGAGTGGCTGAGGGGGAGAGCGGTGGTAGCCTCCGGGGCCCACGACCAGAGGGACGAAGTAGGTCTTGAGGCCGGGGAGAGGAAGGGCGCGCGGAAGGTCTGGCTGGGGGAGCGGGGTATCGGTGAGCTGCCTAGGGGTGGAGAGGCGACGTGAGCGGCGGCACTCATGCGATAGAGGGAGGAGCTGGAGTTGGAGCTCGGAGGAGTGCCAGGCTCGCCGTCATTGGTCATGAATGGGGCATGGGGGCGGTGGAAGTCAGACAAGCTGCCTGAGCGGGGCATGGCGGTGGCGGGGTCGGTGTAGGCATAGGCGTAGGCGGGGATGCCATTCGCCAGACTCTCGAGGGAGGCTCTGCGACGGCCGTAGGGCACGGTGGACGGCAGCGGGTCGGGATTGCCGGGGTACGCCTGGAAGGGAAAGGCTGAGGGTGGAGGACGCGACGGGGAGGCATCGCGGTCGGAGGCGTCGGAGAAGCTGGAGCCGGAGCGGCGGTTGGAGCGGGAGCCGGCGAGGAAGAAGGGGCGGGGAGGGACGAGCGGGGGCGTATGCTGTTCGTGCGAGTCAGTGCTGGTGCTGGAGTCTGCCATGGGTGGGCCTGCATCCACGATCGAAGTCTGCTTTCTTTTATTCCTCGATCGCTGATCGCCGGCGGTCCTAATCAGGAAATCTCATGCCCTTTTTTGGACCCCCTCGATTTGATCCCGCTCCGTCGTTCCTAGTCTCTTGTCTCTTCCCAGTGTCTACACGCATGCCGTCCTGGCCAGCATTTCGCCACCCCCCCAACTCTGCTTGCGAGAGAAAGGATAATGGGCAGCGCAGGGTGTTACGATATGATGCATAAATGACGTCAGGAGAAGATTTCATGGAAGTCGTGGTAACCACGCTGCATCCATCCAGGAGTCAGGCA